AGTTTTAGAACTGAGTCACTGTACACTCAGCCTGTTTGGGAATGCTCCAGCCCAGATAAAAGAAACATCTCATAAGGTCAGCAGCTCGTTCACAGCACTGCTAGGAGAGAAGAAAGAAGAAACTATATCATGTAATTAGCCTGAAGCAGAGATAAGAAGATAGAAAAGCAAGTCAGAAAACAGTACTCACTTTGTACAGTGGCTTTATATTCTAACTTCTAGTTAATTGTAGCACAAGATCCTTATGACAGAACTGTTTTTGTTTCAGCATACAGTCCTGTCCTTGGTTTCAGTTGTAATGAAATCCTGGCCAACCCCCTTTTTCACTTGAGGATGACACAGCCAGTTCTAACACCGCATAGGAGGATCCTCCACCCAGCAGACTCAGTTGCTCCACCTCTCTATTAGTTTGTTGTTGGGTGTGGGTTTTTTTAGTGTGTAAACAGGCAGCTCTCTCTGTAAAGATTTCCCACAGCTAGAATAACTAATCCAAAGTGAAAAAAGAAAATACTGCCTATGGAAATACGAATGTTTGTGTACCATTGGTTTATCAAACAATGACAGTAGGTACAATGTGGGGAAAGGATAGCTCAGTGGTTTGAGCATTGGCCTACTAAACCCAGGGTTGTGAGTTCAATCCTTGAAGGGGCCACTTAGGGATCTAGGGCAAAATCAGTACTTGGTCCTGCCTAGTGAAGGCAGGGGGCTGGATGCAATGACCTTTTGAGGTCCCTTCCAGCACTAGGAGATAGAGAGAGAGACCTGTGTGTGTATATATATATATATATATATATATATATATATATGTAAAACTCATCCCTGATTTCTGTGTAACTCTATTGAAGTCAGTCAAATTGCATCAGGAATGATTTGAACCCATTGTATTTTATACCAATACTAAATACTCCTTTTTCCTTCTTAAATCAATGTCTGCATTTCTGCACAGCTCCTAGTCCCCATCTACTACTATGGTTTCTACAGGAACAGTGCTGACTGGAGGAATCCAATGCAGTCCAATTCACCTTAATTAATAAATAGCAACTACTATTATTGTGGACTGCTGAGGTGAGGAGGGAGGGACTCAGGAGGCAAGACTTTTAAATAATTCCAATTGAGAGACAGGAGATGGTTAAATCAGAGGGAGGGGAGGACAGGACTGGACTGAGTTGTCTAAATCAGGTAGAAGTGAAAGTGGGAAAAGAGAGAAAACTGGGGGCAGTAAGGGAGAGGAAAGGGTGAGAAGATGATGGGACCATGTGTATTTTGGGCATATGGACTATCAGTCAGCAGCAAATCAGAGACATAATGACTGTACAATAATTCTGAAACAAGCCATGTATCAGTTATGCAAAATTCCAAATCTGACTGACTACTCCTGTTCCTCAGCCACACAGCAGTTATCTGAATACTATTTGATTAATAACCACACATTGTCACTGTATAATATCCCTGTGCTCTGATTGGTTGTGACCATAAATGTAAGTATAATAAATCCATCTGCTGTACACCAATTTGGTAGTTTTAAAAGGTATTATCACAGAATGATATCAGGATACTAGGATAACAACAGCAACTTACTTTTTAATTTCATATCTGCTTATAAAATCAAATTCTTGAAAGTTGTGTTTTTTGTTTATTATTTATTTATTTGAAAGTAAAGAGCTTCAATGCTCCTTTCATATCAGCTTCTGGCTCATCACATATCTGATAAATATGGAAACCCCACATCCACTCCATCCCCAAGGTGGAGCTCAACCAGACAGGGAGAGCAAGGGGGTAGTAACCGGATGGCCTTCCCCTTTAGGCATGTCTAAACTGCAATTAGAAACTCACAGCTGGCCCATGCCAGCTGACTTGGGCTCATGGGGCTCAAGCTAGTGAAGATGTTCTGGATCCAGCTGAAGCCACCCTCTGGGACCCTCCCACTTCACAGGGTCCCAGAGCAGAGGTGGGCAAACTTTTTGGGCTGAGGACCACATCTGGGTGGGGAAATTGTATGCAGGGCCAGGGGTTGGGGTGCGGGAGGGGGTGCGGTGTGCAGGAAGGGGCTCAGGGCAAGGGACTGGGGCAGAGGAGGGATGCGGGGGGCGTATGAGGGGGCTGAAGGCAGGGGGTTGTGGTGGAGGGGTGCGGAGTGCAAGAGGGGGCTCAGGGCAGGGGTTTGGGTGCACAGGGGTGCATGGTGCAGGCAGGGGGCTTAGGGCAGGGAGTTAGGGGGCAGGGTTCGGGCTCCAGGGTGGCAGCGGCATGCACCGGGGCCAGGGCAGGCTCCCTGCATGCCTGCCCTGTCCCTGGCCCCGCACTGCTCCAGAAAGCGCTGCGGCCCTGGGGGGCCGGGGGCTCCGCATGCGCTGCCCTTGCTGCGCCTCCAGGTACCTCCCCCGAAGCTCCCATTGGCCCCGTTCCCAGCCAATGGGAGCTGCGGGGGCGGTGCCTGGAGGCAAGGGCCCGGGGGCCGCAGGGATTTTGGGCTGGCCGCTGCTGAGAGCGGCGTGGGGCCCACAGAGTAACGGGGGGGCAAGCCCATGGGTCGGATCCAAAGCCCACATTCACATTATATGCTGTTTAAAGAATAAATTAGTGTGAACGAGAGACCTTTTAGCTCATGCCCACAGCATCCACATGGGGGAGTTACAGCACAGCACTTTGGTGCTCACTGACATTCACACCCCATCCAAACTGCAGAGCAGTATCAACACGCCCTTAGAAATGAGTTTGCAATAAGATACACAGCATGAGATCAATGCAATCTGAGGATCCATATGCAGAAGCATTATATAATATGTGTAACCACACATGGAATACTGCATTCAGTTTTAGCCCACATCAGAAAGATGTAGAAAAACTGGAAGGAAGTTAGAGGAAGAACAAAAAAATGATTAGGGATTCATGAGGGAATACACTGATGAGAAAAACGGAAGGAGTTAAATATGTATATTCTAAGTTTGCCACAATTAGGAGGGAGACAAGGCAAGAGTTTACAAATACCGAATGAACGTAAAACACCCGGGAAGAAAAGTAATTTAGGATAATAAAAGAATATAGCTAGGAATCTTTATTATTATTATTTTGCAGTGGAATGAAGTTAAGAATGTGAAAATGTAATCTGATAGCAGAAACACTTCCTGTCAATCAGCTCAATCAGGCACAGAAATCCCTCTGGGAAAGCAGGGTAGAAGCCCAGCATTTGAGACAGTTGAAACTAAACTAAACAAAGAACTAGTACATGTACAACAGGAAATAATGCTTCCTGAGCAGGGAGACCGATGACCTAACAGAAGACAGAAGTGAAAAGATCTCAGAGATTCTATAAAACTAGTGAGCCATAAAAATAAAAAATGCACACCCCATATGTTTTAGTTTTCAATTCAAAACACAAATAATGAACTCAATGCAGGGAATTCTTGGGAATTAATGGCTTTCAGTTGTATGTTGGGGTGCAGACTCTTCCCAGCCAATTATTAGGCCACAGAAAGTATCCTGGACCTGCCAAGCTTCCTGAAATCAGTAGTCCCTAATTCTGTTTATGAAAGTGCCATGAACAGAAATGAAAGGGGAGTTTAAAGGTGATTTTCCATGTATTGCTTTACTTTTATCACTATTGCTTTTCTTAGTACTACACATCTTTATAGTCTACACTCCATTTGTTAGCATCGGCCTCTATTTTGGCACTTAGCGGTCAGATCATTACAATTATTGGTGCTATGATCTTGTCAGATCCCACAGGATCAGACCCATACTTGGTGTGCAATCCTGGGCCCCACTGAAGTCAATGTAAGTGTTGCCATTGACTTCAGTAGGGCCAGGATTTAACCCATAGATGGGAGACCTCCAAGGAACACAGGTCCTGCACAAAATGATATTGGTGGCATTTCTCGACTCAATACTGGACTAAAGTCCTGGCATACTATTAGTAGGCACTGGCATTCTTCCTCAATGCGCCTGCAATTCCAGCTCAATAAGAGTATTCTTCACTTCTTGTCCTAAACTAAAATGTTATTGAGTGCTATTTAACAGCAGTTGCTTTCCACCCCAGACACCCTCTGTCTACCTAACAGTGGTGCAGTGAGATCTAATTCAGTGCTTGCACAATGCTATGAGGTCCTCAGAAACAAAAAAACTGAAGTGTTGTTGTAGCAAAATAACAAGTATAACGAAAGCTTATGCTCCAATACGTCTGTTAGTCTATAAAGGTGCCACAGGACTTTGTAGCACAGATCCAGACGGCCACCCCTCTGATACTTGAAGTATAAGTCAGCTACCACATCCACTTGCTCTGGAAGTTGAACTTTTATTTCACTTAATACAAAGTATAATTAACTCATATAATGTTTTTTTCTGAGATACTTCAACATTTATCACTTCATAGCTTTAAGAGATTTTTACTTATCTTCGTCTTTATTTTTTTTTTAAATAGATCACTCAGTTCACTTAGGGACTCCCTTTGACATCAATGGGCTTTGGATCAAAGACCTCAATGTTTGAGGGTTTTTTTGTTAATGAAGTTAAGAAAATTGTACCTGAATATAATTTCCAAAGTAGATTTATCTATTCAAGCAAATCATTATATTTCAGTCAACAAAACAAACAGATCAGTTATGTCAGAATTTGTTTCTGAAAATATGACTATTCTGCTTTGGATAACATATATTATATCTCCATTATGCTAAGATCCAGATTCTCAAAACGTCAAAAAGGTATTTAGGCACCTATTTCACACTGAAATCATTGGGAGTTAGACACCTAAATGCCCTTGAGGATTTGGGCCTAATCCACAAAGAATACATTTTTTAAAAACCCAGAAAACATTAGGATAAACAGCTTAATTCTACAGATTCCAAAATTTGGAATAACTATTTTTAAAACTAAACCAAAAATGTATTTTTAGAGAAGCATATAGTTAAATCTCCAGTCTACACTGAGGTTTATTACAACTCTCATTGATGCAATTATTGTTAATCCCTATAGCAAGTTTATCATCTCTGAAAAATGCAAGTTACCTTACTGGTGGAGGCAGCTCCACTTGTATGTGTTTTGGGAGGCTGACTGGCACTAGCACTTGCAGGTTTCTTCTGTGAAATAAAAGCAAAAATACAAAAGAAAGGAAAAAAATAACTATGTCAGAAATAAATTATTGGTAAAGAGGAGCAAAATACTGCATTAAAAAAAGATTCTCTGAGGGTTCTGTTTCTTGGACTATTTTATTCAAAATACTAACAAGTTCATTTATATTCAGTGTCTGCTTTACAAGGCATCTGAAGCAGTTTTCAGAGTTATAATTCAGGAATTTAGATCACCAGAGATCGTTTGAGATGGTTTTCTTGTGAGCTGAGCAGTTATTGCAGACTGAATTATTTCGCATACTTCCATACATCATAGATTAATCTATGGTATTTCCTAAAATTGAGGTGCTCATTTTGGTTAACAGTGAAGCCAAATGTAATCATCTGTATCTCACGAGACTTCGGGTACATCTATACTTACCTCCGGGTCCGGCGGTAAGCAATCGATCTTCTGGGATTGATTTATCGCGTATTGTCTAGACTCGATAAATCGATCCCGGAAGTGCTTGCTGTCTACGTCAGTACTCCTGCTCCGCGAGAGGAGTACACAGAGCCGACGGGGGAGCCTGCCTGCTGCGTCTGGACCCGCGGTAAGTTCGAACTAAGGTACTTCGACTTCAGCTACGTTATTAACGTAGCTGAAGTTGCGTATCTTAGTTCGAAGTGGGGGGTTAGTGTGGACCAGGCCTTCAAGAAAAGTAACCGCTGTAAACTGAAGTCAGATAGCTTGATTTTTTTAAATTAAAAACAAAACACATACAGTGCAAGCTTGAAAAAAAGATATTTAAACCTGCATCAGCAACATGCCCTCGTTCCTTCACATCACATTTAGATTATTGCACAGAAGTTATACTGGAGGAAATTATCTTCAAAACAGAAAAGCTTACAAAAGCATCTGTGTCAAAGTAGTGTGGATGCAGCAATAGTTTCCCTTCTTGATGGCATGTGAACAAAGTGGTGCAACATGCAGAGAGGGAGAAATGAGGCAAAGAGGTGCGCACACATACAAATACTGACAGATAGAATTGAGGGCTTTCAAATTAAACAAATGTGTGTGCAGATGGAACAAAAAAAACACAGCAAGTAATTAATTTCTGCATGACTCCAGTTTCATGTCAGTGTAACTCCAATGATACCAATGGAGTTATATTGGTATACAACTGGAATGAAATTGTGATAAAATCAGAAGTGGCTAGAAAAATCAACCTTGAGCAATGAATGCAAAGAAATGATGGCTTTTCAGAAAGTGGACTCATGAGATTTTACAGCAGAATATTTTGAATGATCCCCTAAACATAGAGAAGCCTGCAGGCTGCTGGTTCAGAGGCCTGGTAAGGAAATTACTATACAAAATGAAGAAACACCAAAATTCAGACCATCAGACATAAGGGAATGTGACAGATTAGTAGCCTCAAACAGGAACAAAAGATCTCATTCATAAAGATAAATGCCACATCATGTTCTTTCCCTCTGACTTTAGCTCCAAAATACAATATAAATGGAGAGAATTTCTCCCACACAAACAAAATTTGAAATTACGAAGACTAAAGCAGCCCTTCTGCAGCTGAAGTCGTTAGTGAACCAGTGCAAAGGGCCATATTCTGTTCACAGATACATACATACTACACCACTGAAGTGTGGCCCAGCAGTACATTTTCCAAAATGTGTGTACAGGAGGTAAATCAATGGTATTTTCTTCAAATATTTCAGGCTTGGATTTAGCATAATGAAAAAAATGAAAACCAAATGAAGCACAGTATCATGTGACAAAACCAATAATACTGTTAGTGTGATGATGCTTGTACATTTGGGACAACTCACATTCATAAAGCTAACTACATGCTTAAGTGTTTAGAGGATCAGTGCCTTGCTAGACACCTAAAAAAAAATTGCATCCAGTCACAGTATGGCTGCACAAATTTGTTTGCTAGGACACAGTACATTTGATGTTCATTTTGGAAAAGAAATGTAGTGCTGTATCACTGTTAAATACCATCAAGGAAATCCTGAAGTTTAGATTTTCAACAAACCAACTTTAAAAGTAAATGACTTTTTAATCCCAATTAGCCTTAGTGTCCTTTCAAAACAAAGTCAGTTTCCCAACTGTTCTCGCTTTAAACTGAATTGTGGCATTAATTAGCTAATTAGAATTAGCAGCAGCTCTTCTTTTTCCTTTATGCCACTTTTTCTGGTGAGGGTTATGGCAGCAGCATGGACAGTAGAGAGGATCAGACCTCCTTTTCCTCCACAACAAGCAAGCTGGGAGATTTAATCCCTCCAGTGTGTCCTGGGGGCCTCCACCCAGTGGGACATGCAGAGTTCCAACAGAAGCCTCCCAGGGAGCATCCTTATCAGTTGCCTGAACCACCTCAACTGGCTCCCTCTGATCCAGAGGATTAGCGGCACAGCAGAGGCCCTCTTGAATAGCTGACCTCCTCCTGAGCAGCTCCTTATTAGCAGCAGGTATTTCGTTTAAACTACTTGAAAACCTAGCACTAGACCAGGGGTCGGCAACCTTTCAGAAGTGGTGTGCCGAATCTTCATTTATTCATTCTGATTTAAGGTTCCGCGCGCCAGTAATACATTTTAACGTTTTTAGAAGGTCTCTATCTATAAGTCTATAATATATAACTAAACTATTGTATGTAAAGTAAATAAGGTTTTTACAATGTTTAAGACGCTTCATTTAAAATTAAATTAAAATGCAGAGCCCCCTGGACCGGTGGCCAGGACCCGAGCAGTGTGAGTGCCACTGAAAATCAGCTCACGTGCCGCCTTCGGCATGCGTGCCATAGGTTGCCTACCCCTGCACTAGACTGTAGACTTTGCAGGGCAGGAACTACCTCTTGCTATATGTAGTGTATAGCACAATAGGACTGCCATATCCGTTGGGGCCTCTGTTTGCTGCTGTAATACAATTGTACTCACTTTAATACATTTGTTAGATACTCAGATACCATGGTGATGGTCAGATTAGATCTTTGGATTACGGCAGAAGTTTTTGTGATATTTTACTCTGTATAATAAAATGGATTAGTCTTTCCCAAAAGAATATGTAGTTAATTATACAAAGCAAGGTAAATCAAACCATGTGAATCAATTCCAGACACAGCCAGAACACCTGAAAAAAAATCATTATCCAGATGTTAATCATGCAATAATACAGGAGATGATATGATCTGTTTGCATCAACATAATGAATTACACAATATGATTATGTACAAAAATGTATGTTAGTGCAGTGTCAGATTTACATATATATATATATATATTTTTATATATATACACACACATCCGGACAGCAATTTTCCTATTACCATCCTAGGATAAGAAATGCTGCTGAATGCTCTCAACATCCACGGACTTCAGTAGGTACTGAGCACTTCTACAGCATCAGGGACATTTTAAAGGGACACTATCAGTTTCAATTTCTTAAAATTCACTATACAGTAAATCAGTTTAACTAGCTTAAAAAGCATTAATCTTTTAATTCTTTTTTAAAAATGCCTAAGGGATTTTCAATGGAGTTACTAGCAGTCAGCAACTGGGTACACAAGATCGGAATCAGCATTCTGATGATTGTTATTAGAGGCTAGAAAACCAAGAACAGACACATCAGACATATCACCTCTATTCTTGAGTTCCTACCACAATAAAACGCCACTAATTTCCTTCCCCAGGTGCAACTTTCTAAGTATACTTCTAATCATGACAGATTTTTTTAAAGAGAATTCCCTGATGAATTCAGTTGGAGGATCTCAAAAGACTTGCATGATAGGACGCTCAATTACTGTATATTTGGAACTTACTTCTTCTGAAATATTTGACTAGATGCATTTTATCCTAAATTTGAGGTCAAGCATCCAATGTATTGATTTAAAAACATTTTTTAAAACAAAAACATAACCTTTCAAAAACATCAACAGGATAACCCATTTTGACAAATGTACAACATTCTTGGGAATGCTTTGGTATTTTGAGTGATTGCACAAGTTCACCTAACATGGGGGATCCAGAAGTAGAGGCTATTTGTAATATTGCATATTCTGCCAAACGGCATCACTATATTTCTTACACACAACTGTACATGAGCAGCTCTAATATGACCCTAAGGACTTGATCGTGTAAGGTGATGAATGCCCACCTCCACTGTAAGTCAACAGGAGTTCACTTTACTTATCACTAGAGTTGGTCAAAGTTTTTTCAATTTTCAGTGAAAATTTGTTAATTTTTTGTGTGACTTTTTTGTTCCATTTTTTCCACCATCTGACTCTACTCAGCACCTTGCTGGATTACAATCTAAAATTTAAAATTAATGGATAACAATCTAAACCCTTTAAAAGTCTAACATACAGCTAGACTAACCAGTAAAGTGCATGCACCTGACTTGCATATTCACCTTTTGATGTACTCCATTTAGCACTAACAGGAGTTACACACACTAGCCAGCCATCTAAGGGCGCATATACAAAGAGGAATAGAGTGGGCACACTCCCTCTGTGCCCCATAGTGTTCTGGGAGGCCCACTGGTTGTAGCAGGAACCAAGCAAAAGTTGCAGGCACTGCAGGTTCCCAACTCCCCTCCCCCTCAGGAAGAGCTGCAGGAGAGAAGACACTGCACTGAGTGCAGGTTCTGCCTGGAGGGAAGGAAGTAGAGGAGCAAGATAGGCAGAAAGAGTGTAGGTGCTGATGGGGAAGGGATTGGTGAGACAGACAGACAGAGTAGGTATGGGCTGGTGGGGAGGCGAGAAAGAAGGCTGCTCTGCACCATTTTCTTCAATGACAAGAAAACAGCACAGCAGAATGGATATCCCTGGATCCTGATACTGGCCTCATCTGCTTGTTGTTCCTGCTTCAGTTAGCTTCTTAGCTGCCTGTGGTACTATACCTAGCTCAGTCACCTCAACCTGGTAAGATACATTGGAAGAAAAATGTTTGTAAATGAAGAAGAGCCACACACTTGAGCTGCTGGCTAAACTACAGCCATAGCACAGCACAGGAAAGAGTTCAAGGGTGAAATCCTGGCCTCACTGAAGTCAATGTCAAAACTCCAATTGACTTCAATGGAGTCAGAATTTCACCCTTGAATTTTTAAGCTCCAAAGACACCTGATTCTTCCACTTAAAGAACTGTTTGGATTTTTAAGTTATTCAGTGTGGTCTTAAAACATTTATGATGCAATCATACAGATACATCCTACTGTTTTAAAAAAACTTGTAAAATCTGGGACCCAAACAAACTCTGGTAGAGACCTGATAAAATTAGCAGCAGAGACCTACGCTCTCTTCCTCATGCTATAGGCGTATATTTTAGCTGGTGTCTATATATATGAAGTCATGGACTAATTACATAAGCAGTCTACTATGATTATCTGAAATATCATTAAAAGAATTATCCTCACACTGCAGGCTCTTAACACCCACTATTAGCACCAAAAGATCATGGAATAAAATGCTAGAAATGGAAAAGTCTTACGGAGTCATCTAGTGTACCTCCTCACCTAAATGGGATTACGCCTTACCAATTGCTCTCTACAGTACAATTGCTATGTTTTTTCTAGTCTAGTTGTCAGTGTCCCAAAAGAAAGGGCTTCCACTCATTTCCTTGGGAGATTATTTATACCTTAATAGAGTTCATCGGCTAAACTGTCCCTTTCTTAATTTTCTCTCATAATTACTAGAAAACCCTCTACTACTCTAAATAATTCCTCTCTCTTTGGCATTCCCAGAAATTTCCAGACAGAATCACATCCCCTTACAGCTACTGCTTAGCTAAATTACACATATGTGATTTTTTAAATTCTTCTTTCAACATAAACCAATTCCTCAGGACTCCCAATCATTTTTGTTGTGCCTCTCTTTATTCTGCCAGTGTCTTTCTGATAACGAGGTAGCCAGAACCAAACAAAATATTCTACGTGTGTTTAACTAACATTCTGCCGCATGATATGAAACCTCTGCATGTGCAACTCACAAACTGCGCTGACCTTTTTTATTGAAATATAGCATTTCAAGCTAGTTTTCAGTCTATAATTGCCCACAAAAAACCTGGAAAGTAGGTCATATATTTTGGATTATTACGTAGTTCCACTTTTATTTTTTAATTTGCAGAATTCCAGAGGTACTAGTTATTGATACTAGAACTAAAGTTGTTTAGCAGGTTAAGTAAAAAAGTATTCAGTCCTTGACATTTTAGGTATTTATCCACAGTGGAACTGTCATTGGTGAGAAAGAGAGAGATGATACGAATGATTCTGTACTCCAATGGTAAGGGCACCAACCTGGGAGAGGGGAGATCCAGGGTCCTGTCCCCCTGCTCCAATCACTCTTTCATTATTTATCCAGAGTGCAATCGCTTCAATTGGAGAGACTGAGGGAGTCCCACACCACAACATCCCATAGTTCAGTGGTGAGAGCACTCTCCTAAGAGATGGAAGACTCTTGTTCAAATCCTTTCCCCCTCTCAGGCAGAAAAGGGGGCGGGAGGGAATTGAGCCTGGGTCTCCCACATCTCAGGTGAATGCTCTAACCATTGGGCTAAGAGCTATAAGGTGGGCAACAGTAGTGGCACTACCACCACCAGGACAGAGTGAGACAGGCAGCCAACTCACTCCTTCAAAAAGCAGTTTAGGTGCCTATACTGCCTGATTCCAGGCAGCTGGTTCCTGTCTGTGGATCTCTAGGCACCTCCCTGTAGCCCAGACGTAGGTGCCCATCTCTGAGACAGGGGCGGGGCTTAGCACACACTCCCCTCTGGTCAGTATCTCCTATCGGCTACCTTAGGCTGCTCCCCCAAGTGTCCCCATTCATCGTATAGGGTGCCTAACTTAGCTTTGTGGATTCTGGTGCTGTTCATGTAATTTTCTAGGTGCCTCAAAGTTAGGTGCTGTGCCGCTCACTGTTGCAACACATAATTCCACCCTGATGTCTCAGGAGAAGGTACACACCCACCAGAGTTAAGATCCAAAACCTGCACAACGTTTTCTCAGAATAAGAAGTTTAATAATAGCCTTCTACAGAGTCTTAGCTAGCTAGAAATAGATCTTTTCAGCAGGAACCCAGAAACAGGAATGCCAAACTTCAAATTGCAGGCTCTCAACTCTCATCATTACCACCAAGAGGTCATTTTTTCTAAATTAAGAGTAAGAGCTCAGCTGGGGAATTTGGCATCAAGCTGAAAAGATGTTCTCAGCTCACTGAGGAGGTGGAAGGATACTGTATAGGAAAAACCTAAACTATCCTGTAAAGCCTAGAGAAAAGGGACAACTGGGTTCCCAGGCTGCACAATTCCTTCCTGAAACCAAGCAAGAAAGGAAGGCACTTGCCTAAGTCACCCATGTAGCCACAGTCACAGTAGAGAAGGACTTTAGGAGAATCCAAGAGTCTATCCAAATTATATTGTCTATAATTCAGTTGTAAACAAGGGCTAACATATGTTTTACAATGAGTTATTTTTCAGTAGCTTTTCCTATATAAAAAGTATTAGATGTACCTGTTCCTTCTGCTGTTTCTCTTCATATTTTTTTATTTAACAGTAGCTTTTAAGTGTCAAACACTGTAATAAACTTATCTATGAATCTCTCTATTCTTGTGACTGTTACTTACCAGCTATAAAGAAATCAAGAAACAGAAAGAGGACTAATCCTAACACTAATTAGCATTTGACAACATGCTAGTCTGGTACACTTAATGCAGAGGATCAGGGAGACAACACTTTGCCCTAGGTAATTTATACAAAGTAAGCGTTTGATAACAGCATAAGTAAGTTTAAATTAGCCTCCAAAGAAAACCCCATAAACTGATTCTGACCTGTCTTGCCTTGGATGCGATAAGCACATCCTCTTTTCCCCAGACCTCAGGTTCATTGCTCTAGGTAAAATAAGCACCTCGCTGCTGCTGAGGCAAGAATTTACAAATGGGAATGCAGAAGTAGCTATACTATAGCCTGGAAAGTGGCAGTTATAAGTTTAAGGTCAGGCATATATGCTTGCTGACAATGAGCTGTTGTACATTCTTAAAGCAGATGAGTTCATGCAAGAGCTTAGCTAGAGATTCTGATGGAGACAATGCCCATGTACACTTCAGTCTCTTGGACAAAGGATCTCTCTAACAATATGGCACTTATTCAAAATTAGCATGTCCTTTATACAATTAATTTCATTATGCTGCATTTATTTCTTTAACAAGTTATTATGGAATGCATATACCACCTCCCTTCTGTAGCAGGAGCACTGACACTAGAACAGAGCACCCTCTTCTTACAAATCAGACTGTTTTAATCTTAATATTTTTCCTCTTTTAGGGTAACTCTTGTGTTGGAGAACCCGGGTGTCACTTTTGATCATTTCCTTGCATAGACAAACGTCCATGGTCATAAACTGTTTTGAGCTGTAAACCAAAGCACTCTTAAAAGTTAAAAAAAGAAAAAGGTAATTTGAGATAACCCACATCACACCAAACTGTTTAAACAATGATTCATACCTTACAAGTTGGGGGACTTGGGCATAACAACCTTTACCTTTATTCAAGTAGGCTGGAAAAACTTAGGCACAAAAAGGAGTGTGCAGACAGAATCAGAGAGGGTGTATTATAGTAACAATTGTTCCTTCAAGCAGCATCATATTTAATCATCTGGCTAAAACCAGCTTAAGTAAGACAGAAGACTTCATGTTACAGGCAAATTACCATTCATCTGGGAAGTGTCAAAGGCACCACTGAGATTAAACCAACACAATCACTAGGCTGATTGAAATTTCAGTTTTCAGATCTTTTGAATTAATAGAGAGATATACAATGTTTATTACAATATGTTTGGTATTACATGAATTTCATTAGGAGAAGTATTTGGTGTGACCCAGAAGGCTAGTTAGATATAAGTTTAAAAATCTGTCTTTTTAAAAGCACCCTATGAGCATGTCCCAATTTATCAGCATTCAGAATACTGTTAAAAACACACTTATTCAAATCCACAGATAGTCTGCCCAACATGTGTAGTGTCCTCCACACACAAGCCTGGCTTGGTTGCAGTGCTGCCCTTAGCTTCTCCATAGGTGACACTAGCAATAGCAGACACAAAGTGCCTAGTGATAGTTAAATGCTGCTCCCAGCAGCATTAGCTTCCATGGATTTTTCTAAGTTAAATGGAACAAAATATGCCACACAGTGGCACAGCCAGGATTAGGCAACAGGAGTTCTTGGCTCCTGGCCCTGAGCTCAGTCTTAGAGACCTGTCTGGACTGCTGAATTACAAATATCAATTTCAGATAAAGTAGCATTTGCAGAGATAGGGTTCCCTTCTGAAATAAATACATGAACCCTGATTCTCCACTCATGCCAACATGCAGATTTGAAGTGACAGGAGAATCAGAGCAGAGCTCTTTTCACACAAAACTGAACAGCACAAGACAGATTTATATTTTTTTTGGAAAATAAGAGCTATTAGTGAACACCACTAGTCAGCTGTCTTCAAGCTACTACTTTGCTGTTTAAAAACAAACCACCATAAAAATTGTCACAGAATGAGTAGATGTTCTCGGCTATATAATCGTACATGCTGGAGTTCATTTTAATATAATACAGTGCTTTGCATTTATTTACCTCTGTGACTTCTGATCCTTTTTTATCTCCAGGTTTAGAAGATGCTCCACTTTTCTTGTCACCATGCTGTAAGATTAAAAAAAGTCATTAATAAGATTAATAACTAAATCTTATACTGCATCTTCTACATAAAGAGAATCTCAAATGCCTTACAGACAGTATATGTCGGGACCACATCATTCACTGTAATCAAGATCTCCACAGAGTGAATCATGACAATTATTCATCACCAGTAGACAACAGATAAAGTTTTTAGGAGACATGAAGCATAACTTCAAATGAAATCACAAGCAGAATTTAGGCAGACAGAATAATTATTTTCAGTGATGGAATCTGGCCAGAACAGTAAGCTTAACACTAGGGCTCTTGTGAAAACTGCTACAAGACATTCAAATACCTGAATCTGTTTTATAGCTCCTCCTCCAGCAATTCAGTTTTGGTATTTGGTAACTCTATTTTGGTATTTGATTCAGTATTGCTTTAAATCCTGATCTAACTCCCACTGATTTCAGTAGATGTCAGATAGGGTGCTTAGAGAGAGTAGCACTACTCACTGAATCATGAACACTACTTCCAACACCTACGTTTTCCTTGGAGGCATTCCATCCAAGTTTTCTCCAGGCCCAGCAGTTATACTGTTGGTATATGACAACAATTCCTGTCACAGTTTAGAGCTAGCTGCACATTTGACCTCTCTCAGTCTCTCTGTCCCCCTCAGGAGTTAAGCCTCTTGCCTTCAGCAGTCCTGGGGTGGAATCCCATGATTCTCCCACACTTAGATGACCCCAGGCACCCCCTTATGTACCAACCATGATTACTCAGCAGCCCTGAGTGGGTTCAGGTCCTGCAAGTCTTCCCTTTGGAAGTTCTGACCAGTGCTGAATACCAACGCAAACAGCCTTTGCAAAACAAAGTAGTGTTTAATCATAACCACAGGAATAAAGCATAACACGAGAAAAGGGGTTTTAACACAAGAAAGAGGTCCACACACATATTTCCATTACGTAAAGCTTAGGCAGACCTATCTTATCCCAAACCCTAGGGACTGAGCTTGTCTGCTCTCCAACTATCTCTGCCTCGCTCTCTCCTTTTCTTCAGGGACTGCCTATTAATCAATTCCAAAGTCCTTTGATTCAATTCTCCCTACCCCCGGAGCCCCACCCTGCTGGTTACAAGCCAGCCAATGGAACTCACCATGAATAGAGATGAAACTTCACACAAATGGCATCTACACTGTCCCTTTAAGTACCAGTATATGAGGCTATCTGAAGAATTTGTCTGCTTTCCCACATAAATACAGTTAGCTCCTAGTAGAGTTAACCCACAAACACCAAACCACCTAGTCTTTAACTGATCTGAACCTCTATTCTGAGCTGAATGACACACTAAAAGGTATACACTATCCTGAATCCAGAAGTGCAGGTCCCATTGACATCAATGGCATTTCTGTACTCAGACTGAGCGCAGTATATGACTGTAAGAATGAAGTGTATGCAATACCAGAACAATGCCCAGCTTTTCAGATAAGATATCTGTTCAGACGAGGGCTGACTAACAGTTCTTGCATTGCTTTACTGTACCTCCACTGTGTTTTATTGCTTTTGTCGGTTTCTTTAGGGTGGGGAATAGCTTTAAAAACAATATCATAGATTTATAGTCCAATTTAATTTTTGACTATGGATTTGTTTAGCTGCACCTCTGCCCCCTTTCTGGTTTCTCTGAGCACGTCCCTCAAGTCCCTTCTCTTTGTCCCTTTACCTATTGTGGGGTAGAACTTCACAATTCTCCCACTCTTAGACCAGACCCTGAGCTACAGTACTGTGTGTATTAATGTGCTTAGCTAGCAGGTATGACTGAGTTCAGACACCCCTGGTTTTTCCCTTCAGGTATCCATGACCAGTGGGGTATACAGTGGCCGGCCAGCCAGCCAGCCTTCTTAAAACCCAAGTATTGTATATTTTAACAGTAGGAACAAAGCTCTTAGAAAACAAAGGATTTTAAAATAACACTTACGTAGGCACGTGTCTATCTTACCATCACCTGAAAATAAGATAGGCAGGCATAACTTCTTCAAATGCCCCTGGTAGGTGCCTGAGTATCAGTCTGGTTCCCCAAATAACTCCCCCTTTTTTGACAGACCTTTTTTCAACTGCTATAGTCCTTTTGGTCTTCTGTGTTGCTAGGCTTTGGTCCTCTCGACAAAACCAGTCCAGTAGGCTATGCAGCAGATCAAGTCACACTCCTCAGAGCCAATGGCTCTGCCTTTGTCCTACTTCTGAGGAATTCTGCACACAATATTTTAAAATTCTGCAAATGTTGTCAATAAATAAATGTGGAGGGTCCAGCATGGCAGTGGGGAGCACAGGCAACTGGCTGCACGGAGGTGGGAGATCACGCTGCAGCCCCCTCCCACTCCCTGGGACATAGACTTGGCAATGAGGCTGCACCCGCCCCAGACACAGCACAAGGGCTGGGCCTGCCCCAGAAATACTCCAGGGAGCTGCCCCTCCATGCCAGGCACACCAAGTGTGGGCAGGCAGGCTCAGCCCGGCAGGATCCAAGTGTGGAATGCCTTAATGTGAGGGGATCCAGGTGTGGGGTAAGAGGGTTCTGTGTGGGGCAATCTAGGTGTTGGCAACTCGGAGGGGGGGGGTGTCCAGGTAGGGGAGGGGATCTGGATGCACAGGAGTTCATTGGGGGAACTCCAGGTACAGCGGCAATGGGATGCTGCAGGGGGGTGGAGGTGAAGGTGGTTAGGGCTCAGTGGGGGTGGGGAGTGTCTGGGTGTGGGACGATAATACTGCCCCCTCAGCTGCCCCAGAACCTACATGGGGCATACAAAAAGCATCTTCTAATAGACGCTTTTCCCCTGGGCACGTTGGGTCTGGGGAGGGGAGGCGTGGCTGCGGCTGCCCCAGAGCTCCTCCAGGCAGAGGGGAGGCTCGGGGCTTTGGCCAGCCCAGGGCTCCTGCGGCCAGGGTGTGGCACGTGCTCTGGGCTTCTCCGGAGGGGGAGGCTTGTGGCTCCGGCCGCGGGGGGGGGGGGGCGGGGGGTCTAGCCATAGGGAGGGCACGAGCGTAACCTGGGGCCAGCCTCCCCAAAGGGAGAGCTCCACCCATGTCGCCCATGCAGGGAGGGTCTGGGTGCTGGGGGAGTGGGGCTTGGTGAGGTAGGGGTCCAGGTGCAGCTGGTTGGGGCTCAGTGAAGTGGGGGTGGTCCAGGTGCGGGGGGTGAGATGAGGCCCAGGTGTGGGCTCCAGTGCAGGAGGATCAGCGAGGGGTGGTCTGGCTGCAGGGGTGAGTGGCTCAGCAAGGGGTTCTGGGTACAAGGGTGGTCTGGTTACAGAGGAGTGGGGCTCGGCGGGGAGTAGTTATCCGGATGCAGGGGGGTGGGGGTTGGCAGGGTGGTTCAGATGCAAAGGGATCAGGTGTGTGTGTGGGGGGGGGAAATCAGCGGGAGCTGGTCTAGGTGCAGGGGGGTCCAGATGCAGAGGGGAGGGGCTCAGCGGGGGTCTGGATGTAGGGGATTGGGGCTCAACAGGCAGGGCCAGGTGCGGGGTGGAGCGCAGCTGGGGAGTCTGGTTATGGGAGGGTCTGAATGAGTCAGCAGCTCCCTGTATAGTGACTGCTCCCCATGTGGCTCCCCCCGGACCCAGCCACTCCTTGCAGGGGGAGTACGCTCCTCCCCTACCCCCAGCCCAACCCACCCTAGCAGCTGAGCCCGGCACAGGGTAGGAACCACCAGCTGGATGGAGCTGGGGAGGCCTGGTTACAGGAGGGTTGGGGCTCGACTGGGGTGTCTGGGTGCAGGAGGGCTCCAGATCCAGGGGGTGAGGCTTGGTGTGGGGGGGCTGTAGGTGGGGGGATAAGGTTTGGCCCGAGGATATGGGTAAGGGGGGGGGGTGGAGAGATCTGGATGAATGGGGATTGGGCGGATGAGGGTGAGTCTGACCCGGCTCCAGCCAGGGCATCCCCAGTCCCCTCCCCCCAGCAGTGATTTCTCTCTCCACCAGCAGCTCCAGGCACCCAAAATGATGTGCCTACCTGTTGGGGAGGGACACATGACTACTCTTGCTGCTTCCCTTTGCTTCCCCCCACATCCCCATAACCAGGTCAATAAACAGTATATAGTTTTATTAGAATGAATTTTGTTTATTATTTCTATAACGAGCGTAATCAGTTACGGTGGGCTATTGTCAGCAGTGCCCCTCTGCCATTTACATTGGCCAAACCGGACAGTCTCTACGCAAAAGAATAAATGGATACAAATCAGATGTCAAGAATTATAACATTCAAAAAACAATCGGAGAACACTTCAATCTCCCCAGTCACTCAATTACAGACCTAAAAGTGGCAATACTACAACAAAAAAAACTTCAAAAAACAGACTCCAACGAGAAACTGCTGAATTGGAATTAATTTGCAAATGGGACACCATTAAATTAGGCTTGAATAAAGACTGGGAGTGGATGGGTCGTTACACAAAGTAGAACTATTCCCCCTACTGTTACTCACACCTTCTTGTCAATTGTTGGAAACGGGCCATCCTGATTATCACTACAAAAGTTTTTTTTTCCTCCTACTGACAATAGCCTTAACTGATTACACTCGTTATAGTTGGTATGGCAACACTCATTTTTTCATATTCTCTGTGTATATATATCTATATCTATCTTCCTACTGTATTTTCCACTGCATGCATCCAATGAAGTGGGTTTTAGCCCACGAAAGCTTATGCTTAAATAAATTTGTTAGTCTCTAAGGTGCCACAAGTACTCCTGTTCTTTTTGCTGATACAGCCTACCATGGCTACCACTCTGAAACTTATCAACACTAACGTCTTGATCAGCAAGGTGTGCATCTCATAAATTAGAAAATAAGTGACCTAAATAAAAAGCACAAGGACAACATGCTAATCGTTAAATCAGTAACTGCAGGTCTACTCTCAGGCTGCAGACAGCACAGAAAACCCACGCTGGACACCCAGCTTCAAGGCAAACTTGGCATTCTTGAGGCTTGGAGAGAATGTCATTAACTTCAGCTCTGGCCCATGCTCCTCATTAAATAGGGGCTTGTAGCGCTGGAGCAGTGATGCTTCCAGTAACTGGGCAAGAAGTGAAGTCCATGGGTCAGATTCTCAGCCACTGTAAATCAGCACAGCTCTATTGATTTTAACACTGATTTCAGTGGAACGATGCTATTTCACACTAAATGAGAATCTGGCCCTACATTATTAACAAAGCAATAACCTCTAACCGTAGAGAAAAATAAAGATCCATGTTTTTCTTCATCCAGAGGAAATGAAGATTTTAAAAAATGGGGGGAGGGGGAGAATCCGGGGGAAAGTAAGTCCAAAAGTTAGGGATGAGAGAAAAGTCTATGATCTCACTTGAGCAATTGATTCAGAAGAAAACTGCCTAACAAAAACTCAGCAGGTCAATCACTTCACCGCTTTTGCTTCTGTTTCCCCTCCCATGTGTTATCTGTCTGGCCTATGTAGGTTGTGAGGTCTTCAGGACAGGGGCTAACACTTACTATGTGTTTGTACAGTACTTTGTGCAATAGGGCCATGTCTACACTGCGGGGACTATATCTTCATAATTATGGTGCCATGCTATACCAACATAACCTCACACTTTAGACATAGCCTATGCCAACAGAATTTTTGTTCCCGTCACTGTAGGAACACATCCTCCCCAAACAACGCTAGCTAGGTCAATGGAAGCATTCTGCCATTGATCTAGCTGCGTGTACACTGGAGGTTAGAGTGGCATACCTACATTGCTCTGGGGGGTGGATTTTTCACACCCTGGAGTGATATAACCATTTGACGCACACTTTAAGTGCAGACTAGGCCTAAGACTCTGATCTTGGTTGGGATCTCCAGAGGGTTCTGGGATACAAATAATGACTAGTTTCCAATTGAGTAGAAGTATGAGTGGTTTTTCTGTCCCAAAACATCATGCTGAGTTTGTATTACATTGTTTCCAGAACCTGTCATTCTTTATACTTTAATGAAAGACTTTCACTGCATCAAGCTAGTACTACTGGCACAAACTTGGTGCAATACTTACAGCTGTAATGTCCAACCCTCAGGTGCCTGACAGACAATTCCATGAAACTCACATTTCTAATTATGTATAGAAAGACCATTCATCAATACTGGATAATGGATTTAAGTTTTGACTTAAAACAGTGACTGAAGTTGTATAATTAAATTATGTTCCAGCAAACTTTCTACAGAGCAGATCTGATGTAAATCAGGATTAGCAATGTCATGGATTTCTCATATCCATATATAAATTTAGCAATTTAATTGATTCAGAGATTCAAAGATTCAAAGTCACCTTATATAAAGTATATTTTGGTGGTGTAAATCGGTGGCATGCAAATACTATAATCACAACCTATGTACTTTATCATTTTATGATTTCACTATAACCTGTAAAGTCAGAGTGCTTCCCTATATGTCTAACACATTATGTGGAAAGACCAGACTTGCTAAAAACATGCACATAAAGGTTAGCTAAAAGTAGGTACACTTATCTCATAGAACTGGAAATGACTTGAAAGGTCATCAAGTCCAAGTCCAATCCCTTGCCTTCACTGCAGGACCAAGTACTGTCCTTGACAGATTTTTGCCCCAGATCCCTAAATGGCCCCCTCAAGGATTGAACTCACAACCCTGGCTTTAGCAGGCCAATGCTCAAACCACTGAGCTATCCATCCCCCAAAAGTAATCTTTGGTAGCTCAAGTATAGCTAAACTGCCAAGTTCCATCAAAGAACCACGGTTTACTTAGGTAGGTTCAGACAAGTTAGTTCAAAAAAAATACCTGCAGCCAAAAACAATTTTATGAAAACTTGTACCAACTAGGACTCTATTCAGAGTGGGAAAGAAAGAGTCCAAAATTAACTTAGCCTTTACAAAAATAATTAATCCATCACTTACTAGATTCTCTTTCTGATCACGTCCCTATATTGGTCAAAGGATAAATGAATTATCAGATGTAAAAGGGCCTGTATTTTTTCAGAAGGTCATGAAAATAAGCAACATCCACAAAGCTAATTTTTAATGTGATATCTTCACTAAAAAGTTTATGGAAGTCCTTCTGAAACTGCAAGGCATGTATTTTAATGGACTATATAGAGAAAATATAACTGGACAATATTTCATATTAAAACATCATCAACTTAAAAACTTCAAAGTTTCAAATCACATCATCTACACAAAAGTATTATTCTTTACTAATTTAAGATGAACATAGTGAGCACTTTAGTTACTTGATCCATTCATTGTTATTTACTAGATATTCTCCTGAACAACAAAACCAGTGCATTAGTGTCTAACTTAATATGAATTCAGTGACTCCATAGTTCTTTCTTGATATAGCTGACAGTTGCTTCCTCATTCCTTCTCCTACAGTCTCACATACTGTAGCTACCTTTTAAAACGTGGAATACTACATATCCAAGCTACAAAAGTGAGCTAGACTGTACGTCACACATACCAGAGCAGGGTGAGTTTCCCCAAATAGAGGGTGGGGCAAATTCACCCCCCTGTAATTTTACTTTATGCCGTAGAGTTACACAAAGAATGCATTTGGCTCTATCTTTAAGCGTCTAACCTTCAGCACTAATGCTCTCCCATTCCCTACACCCGTATTACTGATACACTCGCTGGCAAGAGCCACACACCCAACCCAAGAGATTCAAATCCACTCTGTCAGCAGCAGAGCTGGCTAGATTTACCGTCGCATACCACCAGCTTGCAAAAGCCATGGCCGGAACGTGTTCCTCCTTTAAGATAATCCTTTCCCTCCAAGCACAGCGGAGCGTTTCAAAGCGCACTGCCTCAGGACTGTAGAGCCAAGCTGGGGCTGACCCAGCCGCTGGGGCGGGCGGCGCTCTGGCAGCGGGGCGGGGTTGGCGCTCCAGGTTGGGTGTGCCGCCCCTGCAGGGCAGGCGGAGGCGGGAAGGGCTGTTGGCACGGCCTCGGCTGCGCCCCTCCCAGTCCCCAGGGCTTTAGGGACTGCGGGGCAGCTCGCAACGCGCCCCTCATTGCAGCGAGTCTGCCCTGTATCAGCCCGGGGAAAAGGGCTACTGGGCTGTTCCGCTCCGCCCTCCCTCCCCGTGGCCCGCAGCGGGGCTGCGCTGGGCTATCACCGCCCCCCGCGGCCCGCAGCTGGGCTGCGCTGGGTTGTCACCGCCCCCCCCGTGGCCCGCAGCTGGGCTGCGCTGTCACCGCCCCCCCACCCCACCCGACCCGTGGCCCGCAGCGGGGCTGCGCTGGGCTGTCACACACACCCCCTTCCTGTGGCCCGCAGCGGGGCTGAGCCGGACAGCCCCCTCCGCTAGCCCCGCGCTAGCCTTGGGGCGCTCCCCTCTTGCGGGCGGCGCTGGCACATTCCCCGGTCCTGACACGCAGCAGGCAGGAAGCCCAGCTGGCACCCGGAGCCCTGGCGCGGCGGAGCTTTGGGCGCCGCCCTTGCCCCGCGCCCTGGTTCCGACACTTACCGCTCTGCTCCCCTTGCCCGCAGGCTTGGAGGAGGACGACTTCTTCCCTTTATGTGGCTGAGACATGGCCGCGGCGGCTCCTCGCTCGGCGCCTCTCTGCGCAGTGTTTACGGGGCGATGTAACGGGCAGGGAGAGGGGGGCAGGTTACATGTAACTGCGAAGCAGCTTTTCCGAGGCAGCCAGAGCCAACTCTAGGCTGCAACCCAGCAAGTCCCTCCTCTTCCTGCAGCTCGGCTGCTGGACCAGCTGCTCTAACTGCACCACTCCTCTGCCCCGACTCATCCCGCTGGGCTCAGTGTTTGTTGAGAAGGAGGGGACGGACCAGCTGCTCTAACCGCACCACTCCTCTGCCACGGCTCATCCCCGCTGGGCTTTTGCTGAGAAGTAGGGGACGCTGACTGGAAGATGCTTGGTGGTGGTTTTGCTGCTTGCCAGGACATACCTTGCAGGCTTACTTGCAGAATGGGGCCTGGGCGTGGTCCTCTTGTTTCTTTTAGGCTTCACAGCTGAGCTGGGATTTATTCTCCTTCCTGTGATAGAAACTACAGTGGGGGAAGCCATAAAATTCAAAGCCAGAGTAGAAAACTTTGCAAGATTTAGTGGGGGTTGGATCAGATCCATAGTTTTGGTTTAGGCCTGTATCCTGTAATCGTTGTTTGGCTCCTTGTAACAAAACCGGTTGCCTGAAAAAAGTAGCCATCCAACATTTATTTCTCCTGTCTGTTTTAGGTAGCAAAATAACTTAAAATCTGAGCAAACCAAAACTCTTTGCCCAAACTCTTTGGATCTTTGCCCAAAACTCAAACCAAACTGGAATTTTTTTTGAGGCTTTGAGAAAAACACTGGGGGAAAAAGTTACCATTTAAGGTATATATCTCTTGTGCTCTTCCTGGATTAAGCTGCAAGTGGAAATATCAAAAGCAAATTTATCGTGAGATTTCTAGCTGAAGTTTTTCATCATATCAGTTTTAATAAGTATCCCACTTGAGGCCTGCTTCTGAAGAGGTGCTTGAGCCATTTACAACTTCCTTCTTGGGATCATGCCCTATAATTGTCCAAAAACTCCATGCCTTGTTGAATTTAGCCCAGTACTTGTTCCAGATTTTACGTTCCTGTAGCTCAAAATCATCAGTCATTTAACCTTTAAATTTCTACACTAGTGAATGCAAAAAGGTTCTATCTATCTAACTAACTAACTAAATGTTTTCTGGTGAGTATCAGTTTTAATGGGTCTGCCCTGTATCCTGCACCAACAACAAAACCTTCCCTTTTGATTATTAAAGAGTAACTATTAGGTTTCAAATTTACATATTAAATAAGTTTTTAACCTTTGCTGCCACAACTTAGATTATTAGATCTGAAAGAATTTTCAAAATTTAGTTTCCAAAAGGTAAATTCTAAATGCCCAACTCCTGCAAACACTTATGCAGAAGGCTTGGCAGTCTATGACACACCAGCAACTTCTCTTAGACACTGGAGGAACAATTTATGATCAATCAAAAATCCAGCATGACCATCTGACCCTGATCCAAAGTCAGAACATTATTATTTGTGACTCTGAATGCATGAACGCAGCCCCAAAATAAGAATTTAAGTTAGTCTGGATCTGGCGGAGATACTGAGGTGTACCTGGAACTGAAAATCCATCACTTTAATTATTGCCTTCCAAAATAAAGGGAGATTAAAGACACAAGATTAATTGGCAAGAATATATGAAAGCAAATCGTACACAGCTTGAGTAAAATAGATGTGTGCTTGAGGAGCTCTAGGCCATGGAGCAGTACTGGAGCCTCTCTACTCCCCCTGAGATTAAATTTTGTACTGTAGACCAGGCCTGAGTGTGCTCCTTACATCCTGTGCCCATCCTACCACATCAGAATAGCATCAGTTTCACCACATTCAGGACCTTCCACAGCTTTTACATGGGCTTGAGGATTTGGCCCAAACCAAGGCATTTCACTGAGTCTGGCAATAACAGCAACACCGTCCTACTTTAAGCTTTAAACAGACAAAATGGGAAAGGGTCGGACCTGCAAGTGGCCCATCTTGGGAAACTCAGAAATGCTAGGCATTCTTATTAGAAACCATATGGGCTCTAACTGAGTGTGGGGGACCAGTCCACCAGGAGCCCAATCCTTTCTATTCTGAAGAAGCAATCAGAATAACTGACATATGTATTTCTCAAAGGTTGTAGCAAGTCGGATGTAATTAATAATTTGGAAGGAAGTAGGAGAACCCTATTCCAATTGTTTAAGTAAGCTTTGTTCTGTTATATTGCTATTCAGTTCTCAAATAGGAAGAAAAATATTTACATTAACATGAGACTGTGTATTAAGTTCTCATTAATACATATTTAATATTAAATATAGTAAGTTTACAGCTAAGTTTATTCTAAGTGTTAGCTTTGTAGAAATTATTTTATAATACAGTTCAAAATATTGAATATATTTTAAGTGTATTGATGAATACTTAAGAGAAATATAAGTAAGGGGTGAAATTTTGGAACAGCCTTCTGAGGGAAACGGTGGGGGCGAAAGACCTGTCTGGCTTCAAGATTAGGCTAGATAAGTTTATGGAGGGAATGGTTTGATGGGATAACGTGTCATTAATCAATTAGGCAATAATGGCCATCGCTGGTAAAATGAGGGTCTGGCTAGAGAATCTTGCCTGTATGCTCGGGGATCTGCTGATCGCCATATTTGGGGTCGGGAAGGAATTTTCCTCCAGGGTAGATTGGCAGTAGCCCTGGAGGTTTTTCGCCTTCCTCCGCAGCATAGGGCAGGGGTCGCAAGCTGGAAGATTCTCCGCAACTTGAAGTCTTTAGATCACGATCTGGAGACTTCAACAGCAGAGTTAAGGGAAAGTGGGGGGGGTCAACATTTATGGCCTGCATCATGCGGGAGGTCAGACTAGATGACCATATTGGTCCCTTCTGACCTTAAAGTCTATGAGTCTATGAGTCTATTTTATATGCTGAAATGACTGTGATTGTCTTATATAATTGCATTGATTTAATGTAAAACTTCATAAATTTATCTTTAAAACTTTTTACATTTCCAAGAGAATTTTGACTGTACTCTAACCATGCTTTCAGAAAGATGGATACAGAGATAAAAGTACTGTGAGTAACAGTTTGAGGGTCTGATTCTGATCTCACTTACCCCAGTGTGAAACTAGTAAGAGGCGAGTCAAACCTTATGTGTCTAAAACAATTGTACCAGGCTAAATGCAATTGAGAGATGAGTGTATGGGTGAGATGCAGAGGCGGATGGAAGGTTGAAGGACTGGTTTAATATATGAGTTTAACAAGTGTCTTTTGTGTTTTAATTTAAAAAAATAACCCCTTGGGTCTCACCAACAGGTCCAACAGATTGTACTGCATTCCTGAGGCTGCAGTGCATAGGATACTCCCTGCTGGCACTTCTACAGGAAAAGGAGGAAGCCTGTTTGAGCACCACTCCTTTAATTGCTCTGCTCCTGATGACAGTCATTTGCAGGGGTGGCTCTATGTATTTTGCTGCTCCAAGCACGGCAGTCAGGCGGCTTTCGGTGGCATGCCTGCAGGAGGTCCACCGGTCCCGCGGCTTCGGCGTACCCACCGCCGAATTGCCGCCAAAGCCGCAGGTCCGGCGTACCTCCCGCAGGCATGCCGCCGAAGGCTGCCTGACTGCCGCCCTCACAGTGACTGGCAGGTCGCCCCCCGCAGATTGCCACCCCAGGCACGCGCTTGGTGCCTGGAGCTGCCCCTGGTCATTTGAGCGCAGTGACAGAAATTAGGGAGCAAACAGTAGCATTCATGATTAGACAAGAATATGTGAGAAAACCACAATAATTTAGGTCTCAATTCTGCCCGATGCTCAGCTCTCTGGTCCTGATCCAGAGGCAGTGCTAGCCCGTTGGGGGGAATAAGCAGGAATATTTTGGCTCCCCCCAATAATAAATAATAATAATAATAATAAAAAGCTGCTCGATGGCCCTAAGCAATTGCTTAGTATGCTTATGCCTAGCACTGGCTCTGCCCTGATCCAGCAAATCACCTAAGTACAGTACATGCTTAAATAAGAATAACCATACTGGGTCAGACCAATGGACCATCTAGCCCAGTCGCCTGTCTTCTGACAGTGGCCAATACCAGGTGCTTCAGAGGGAATGAACAGAGCAGGGCAATTATCCATCCCCTATTGTCCAATCCCAGTTTCTGGCAGTCAGAGGTTTAGGGACACCCAGAGCATGGGATTGTGTCCCTGACCATCTTGGCTAATGCCCATTGGTGAACCTATCCTCCATGACCTCATCTAATTATTTTTTGAACCCAGTTATAATTTCGGCCTTCACAACATCCCCTGGCAATGAGTTCCACAGGTTGGCTGTGTGTTCTGTGAAGAAGTACTTCCTCTTGTTTGTTTTAAACCTGCTACCTATTACTTTCATTAGGTAACCCTGGTTCTTGGGTTATGTGAAGGAGTAAATAACACTTCCTTATTCACTTTCTCCACACCATTCATGATTTTATAGACCTTTATCATATCCCTCCTTAGTCATCTCTTTTCCAAGCAGCATAGTTCCAGTCTTTTTAATCTCTCTTCACATGGATGCTGTTCCATATCCCTAATAATTTTTTTTTGCCCTTTTCTGAACCTTTTCCAATTCTAATATATCTTTTTTTGATATGGGGTGACCAAAACTGGAAGCAGTATTCAAGATGTGGGCATACCATAGATTTATATAGTGGCATTATGATATCCTCCATATCTTTTGGCCCAGAACAATCTCAAACCAAGATCTATTCACACACTGCAGCCAAGATTGCCAGGAGGCTTTGGAGATGGATTGGCCATGTGCTTCGGATGGAAACTGATTCCATCACCAGAGTAGCAATAAGATGGACACCTGCAGGCAAGCGAAAATGAAGCCGCCCAAAAACAACATGGCGAAGAGCTGTGGAAGCCGAACTGAAAAACCTGGGGCACAGCTGGGGAACCATTGAAAGACTTGCCAGAAACAGACAGCAGTGGAGGAGCTTCGTCACTGCCGTAAACGCCAGAGGCGTAATGGGAACATGATGATGATGATGATTATGATATTTGCTGTCTTATTATCTATCCTTTTCCTAATGGTTCCTAACATTCTGTTAGCTTTTTTGACTGCCGTCGCACATTGAGCGGATGTGAACTGTCCACAATGACCCCAAGATCTCCATCTTGAGTGGTAACAGCTCATTTAAATCCCATCATTTTGTATGTATAGTTGGGATT